TTTCCATCCCTTCAGGTGCGACTCTCTCAGTGGGACCTTCCCTGACAACCTTATTTAAAATTGTATCCCTTACATTCTTCCCTGTCTTATTTTTCTCGATACAGCTCAACACCATTTGATATATTATATGCTACAGTATTTATTTTCTCTATTAATTTACTCTGTTTATTTCATGTATGTCCTCACCTACAAGAAATTTCCATGCATGCAAAACCTTGTCTATTTTGTTTGCTGCTACAACCTCTATCCTAGAACTGTGCCTGGAAAATGGGAGGAGCTCAACAACTACATGTTGAAAGCATGCAGTGTTTGGTCTGGCCAATCTGGCTTTTCGGTATTACTCGTCACTATTCCCTGATTCTATACTGCTGCACATTGTATTCCCCTGAACATACCACACATGCCTTGAAAGGTGCTCTTCCTTCATTCGGGTAGAAACATTCCTCAATATTTCAAAGCTCAATTCAAGTTCTATTTCCTGTAGGGAGCCCTTCCTGGAATACCTCAATCTGCACTGAGTGGCATCCTCTATGTTTCTGTTGCATCCACAGAGTATTTGCCACATATCATACTTCTCCACAGACTATTCAACCTGCCTAAGGTTACGGTAAGACTTAAGCTGCCCAATGGCATCCCTAATACCTAGCGGAGTATCTGGCACTTGGGAGACTCTCCGACCACTGTTTGGTAAAGAAAGAAAAAAATCAGCCTAGGACCCCATGTTACTCTTTCTGAAAAACTTTAATTCTTCTAATTTGCAGAGATGGTTGTGAGGCTTAACGCTATATATATACAACTCACTGCACATCATAGGAATTCAAGCCAAACTGCAAGCCATCACTTGTTGACATTTTGAACATCTATTTCAAGCAAAATAACCAAGTCACACCAGGAAGACCAAATTCAGAGTAACTGAAAAGACCTGATAAGTTTATTATCCCATGAACATGACCACCACCCACCACCAGCACCACCACCTTACTCATACCCAAACTGTTAATAATATAGCCTTTCAAATGATACATTAGTGTGATTTCTCCTTGCACTCTGTTGAAATTTCTATTTCCTGAAAGAAAAAGGAATCCATTATTATATTTTTGGCTAATAGGAGACTTCCTAAGTAGCTGGGCGTGGGTAGAAAGGCAGGTATAAAGAAGGAGATAAGCAACAGAAGGATTCTGAGAGAATATTTTTATAAAGAGAATAATGGAATACAGAAAAATGGCAACAGACACCATCAGTAGAAGCAGCATTTAAGAAAACCCTAAGGACTCACTACCTAAAATGTCTAATTCTGGGAGTTAATGTTTTTGTTCAAATGTACTTCCATTCTTCTTAGAAGTCTTCATTAACTGAAACTGGTGACTTAACTTACCAGACATTTTAATGCTTATAAATACAAAAGTTTGGAGACATACACACACATTTACATGTAGGTTTTTAATACATTAATAGAGCTATTTTTTAAACAGCTGCGTAGTATTACATCATGTATGCATACTCCCTCATTTATTAATTTTTGCTCATTTTTTGCTATTATAAACAATACAATAGTGAATATCCTCCTCAGGTCAGTGGTTTGTATGACTGATTTCCAAGAGGCAGACAAATGGGCAGAGTACTCCTAAACTGTCTTCTGAAAATGTACCAATTTACAATGACATAAGCATGAGAGTGTATTCTCCAGAAGTCTTGCCAGTGGTGGTTATCAGGTTTCTTTAGTCAACATAATAAATATAAAATGAAATATATCACTGTATCCATATATTCACTGAACATTTGTGTGTCCATTCCTCTAAAAGGTAACCCATTTTTATACTAGCTTGTCTTTTACTGAATGAGCTGGAAGAATACTTGAAAATGAGAAATTTTAATTACTTGTTATATGTGTCATAGATATTTTCCCCTGTCATCATAGCTTTAAAAATGTTACCTTGTACTAAACGAATTGTTTTAATTATGTAATTGTGCTCACTTCAGCAGCACTTAAGTGTTTTAATTATGTAATTAAATATAACAATTTTATTTTTATATCTTCGGGAATTGATGTCATGCTTAGAAGCATTCACTCCCTCCCTTGAAATGTACAGTATTCACCATCATTCTATACATAGAAAACCTACTTAAAAGTATGTAATTACAACTCTGTATTACACTATTCACTTTCCTCTGAAAAAATATTACTACAGAATTTTACTAACACTGCAAAATTGATTGTAAACTTTCTTTCAGGTAAGGTGTAGGTTAGATAATGTCCTACAGTAAGGGCCAAGGTTATGCAGACTGTGGTGGAACGTAGTCCAGGACAATTTGGCTTGTGGCTCTTACTATGGTCTCCCCAGTAAAATCACCTTTTATTTTTATTTTCAGACACAGTGTGCCCAGGATGGTCTCAGATACCTGGCCTCAGGGATTCTCCTGTGTAGCTGGAATTACAGACATGAGCCACTATGACAAGGTAACATCCCTTTTAAAAAGCACTTTATAAATCCAAAGTAACTACGGTAGATCAAAGAACTAACAAAATGCATCTGGGCACACCCAGTTCACATGTAGAATGTACTGATCACTTATTACTGTCATGCTATGTTATGCATATACACGTATACATGTATAAGTAGTTTATGATCTAGAGAAGACAGATGGGCATATATAATTATTATGTAAAGCATGTTTCCAGGAAAATGGTACATTAGAGTTGTAGAAACATGTTTAACATTTGAATTCTTAAAAAATCTCAATTAAAAAATGTACACGTGCTGTGTCAACATGTATTTCTAACTACAACCCACTAAAGATGTTTGATGTTTGCCTTTAATATTATTTTAACTAGGCAATATATCTTCACCTTAGGGATCTACGATGAAATACTTATATAATACATAAACATGCTATGATTGAGAATAAGAAAATTATCAAGTTTAATAATTCATTTTATAAAGACAATATAAAATTGGAAACAACCAATACCCTATCTAGCTTTTCATGACAAGTATTTTCATTAATGCTCTTTTCATATGAACAAATAGCTTAAAAAGCATCACATTTCATGTTTGATATCAAAATGTTTCTCCCTAGAGATCAAAAAAAGCTAGCTAATAGCGAAATCAATATAGGAAGATGTTTACGTTTTAAACATGGAAGGCTCATTTAATGCCTGACATACCAATGTTATTTTTAAATGTGTATTTCAAGGACCTTTTGGTAAAATGAAGATAAAAGACAAAAAATTATTTACTAAAAAGGAAATGGTCACTCTATCACATTTAACATTTTTCCTAAATTGCTATCTTTATGTAAAGAAATTATCTGAAAACATTTAAATAATATTCATAAGGCATATACTCCTGTTTAAAGTATAAAGTGTGACACTGGAAGAAGAAAATGTCAAAAATAAAAATAAAAAATAAAGCACAAAGTGAAAAATCAAGACCTATAGCTGCAAAGGCTTTAACTGAGAGTAACTTTAGAGATTTCTGAAAGCAACTTCATTCCTCTGTTTTATACAAAGAAAACTTAGGAAAAATATACGAATAGGCCTTACTGGTGTGATCACTGTGGGAAAAACACTTTTTCTCTAGAAAAAGCCACGTCCTGGAATCACACAGATTTATGTTTACTCAGCAAAGGCTCATGGCTTCAGTTGCTGTTTTCAGGGCACAGCACCATCACTTACCTCTTTTGAGATATATAAATAAAGGCTCCAATGACTCCTCTCTACAAAACACACAACACACACATATACCTCCCATGCAAACACCATCCCTTTCTCAAACTGCTTTGTAAACAGAGCACTTCCCTCCTGGGCAAGGCTGGATCCTCTGCATTTCTATCTGCTTCACTTGGGCTTTGGCCTTTTCTCTATCCTCATCACTGTTTAATACAATTCTGCTGACTTGAACACACATCACACAACACTTCAGGATTTTTTTTTCCCTCTACAATCATCCTAGTCACTGAGGTGAGTGCTAGAAGGGGTCTTGGCAATAAGGACAAAACCCACATTCAGAGTCCCCACTTCCACAGTGTGAGCTCCTTTACAGTTACTCTTTGGGACGTGTCTAACAACCCTACAAAGTAGGTATCATTCTTTTACAGATGAGGTATCTCAAAGTCTAGGTTAAAACAGTGTCAAGATCAGACCAAACTAGTAGCAACAACAGGAACAACAATATAACTAAAATCTATGAGCATCAAGTGTGCTAGGCATAGTTCCAAGCCTATAAACAAATAAGTCCTTTATCCTCCTAATACTATAGAAGATAGTTACTGTTCTTCATGTTTGACAGATAACAGAACCGAGACACAGAAAAGTAATTTATAGATGGTGTCACAGAGGACTCATGATTTGAACTTAACTCCCATAATTTCCAAATTCAGTCTTTTCCTGCTTCACATTATGTATGCTATTATCCTGCTGGGAATATTTTCATTTGATTCTTTCAGAAATCCAAATCCTCAAAAGCATTCCTCATTATATGCTTGCAGAAACTCCGCACCGTTTTCATAGTGATGTTTCTAGGATATTTATTCATTCTAACCTTTGATTTTTTAACATCATGACTTAGAATGTATTTTGTTCTTCAAATGGTCTAAGCTTTTGAGATATATAAGAAAAAATAGAAAGGATACTTTATTTACAGTGAGTTACAAGGGATTCCTTTTTTTAAACCCAGAATTTTATTTAAACCCAAAAGTTTAAAAATACTAATGTATTTAAAAATAGTAATGGTAATTTAGAAAATCCTCTAAGTAGGTAGCTCAAAACACATACAATGTTTTTTTTAAGGCTCTATTCAAACCCAGCTCCCGGCTTGTGGAAGGTGTGAAATGGAACACCATCCCTAGAAAAGTAAGTACTCAGATTATACTGAGCTGAATTATTCATTTGGTTTTCATTTTTACAGTTACCTAAAAGAGGATAAACAGGCTGTTAGGGGCAAGCTCAGGTAATTATTTGGTAGAAATGTAATTGGGAATGCTCAGAAACAGCACCTCACCTTTCTGGGGTCTGATGATAAATGACTGCGAGGCTCCATTCACCAGCCGGCAATACCCATCTATCAGGTCAGCCATATTCTCCGCAATGGTTAGGGATGGTGCCGTCACTGTCAGAGGCTAAAGGAGAATAGACCAAGAAAACAGACTTTATTGTTCTTCCCTGTAAGCAAAGGGCAGCTGTGCTATGACATCAGACATCTCTATACACTTGAAAACAGAGAAGAGTGGGAATGAAACAAGATTTGTCATAAGATTTGAGAAAGGAAATCTGATATTTAAGGACATTATTCCTAGAATATGTGACAAACGCAAACCCAGATGAAAATAGAAAAATCTTTTAAACTGGGGCTCTAGAATAAATATAGACGAAAAAAATATTTTCCTTCAGAATGTCTGGCCCCTCTGACATACTCCAGTTAAGGGAAGAATTCAGACAATCAGCAAGTTAAAGTATGACTTCTATCAGAAACTCATGTGGACTAAATTTTTTATCAACCATCCATCATAATTTCTAATGTAAAAGAAAATTAGTATTTGTTTAATCTCTAGAATCAACAAGAGTTCCTAGAGCCCCTCAGAAGTCACCAAACTCACAGAAACACAGGGCAGAAGAGTGATGAGGCATCCGCCTAAGTGAGGAGTGCTGCAAATAAAGCTACCCAGAGAACTGGCCATAACAGACCAAAGAATCCTGGTGTGCTGATGGAAACAGATGAGCTTCAAAAAACATGCTTTACACACCAGCACAACCGTGTGTGCCACCAGACTGTCCAGATCCTTTCACACATGAGTGTATTTTGTCCATCTTGCAGAAAGGACCACATTAGGCAGCATTTGCCAAATGGCTCTTTCTCATGCCACTTGTTTTAAATCACTGTTGCCTGTTAAGAATATAGGCTTTGGATCCAGACTGTTTGGGTATGAACCCCATCTCTGTCAATTACTTGATATGGCCAACCTCTTATGCCCCAGTTTCCTCAACTACAGAATGAGGTTAACCAAAGTATATCTAAGTATTTACTTCCTTGGTTGTGAGAATGACACAGCTTCTCTTGGCTTCTGCGTAAAGAACCACGGGTAGCATGTGCCCAGTATCAGGTACTGCTGCTGTTATAATTATTATAATCATATAATAATAATTATTATAATCATGTAATAATTATTTCTACCCAGAGAATACCATGGACAACACAGTGTGGAAATTAACTCAGTTTACAGTATATATACAGTCAATGCACCACATAACAATGTTCTGGTCAATGATGGTCCACATATACAATGGTGGTTCCATAAGATTTATATAATGGAGCTAAGAATTCCTATTGCCGGGTATGCCATAGCCATCCTGAAGTTGTAATGCTCATGTTTGTGGTGAAGCTGCTGTAAAAAAAATCTACTGTGCTGCCAGTCTTATAAAAGTACAGCACATACAACTATGTACAGCACATAATACTGGATAATGACTATGTTACTGGTTTATGTATTTACTGGTTTTTTTTTTTTTTTTTAAATAGAGTGTATTTTTACTTTTTTTTTTTTTTTTTTTAAAGTTAATTGTAAAACAGTCTCGCGCAGGGCTTCTAGGAAGTATTCCAGAAGGCGGCACTGATCTTATAGGAGGTGACAGCTTCATGTGTTACTGCCCTTGAAGACCTCCCAGTGGGACAAGATGTGGAGGCAGAAGATGGTGATATGGATATTCCTGACCTTATGTAGGCCTAGGCTAGTGTGTATGTTTGTGTCTTACTTTTTAACAAAAATTTTAAAAAGTAAAAAATACAGAAAATCATTTTAAAACTAGAAAAAAGCTTACACAATAAGTATGTAAAAAAAGAAAATATTTTTGTACAGCTGTACAATATATTTAAAACTGTTATTATGAGTCAAAAAAGCTGAAAAAAATCAGTTTATAAAATATAAAAGTTACAGTAAGCTAATATTTACTACTAAAGAAAAAGGTTTTAAAAATAAATGGAAGTATATGGTGTATACTTCATACACAGTATGTACAGTGTTTATAGTCTACAGTAGTGCACAGCAATGTCGTAGATCTTCACATTCACCCTCCATTCACTCACTGACTCACCCACAGCAGCTTCCAATCCTGCAAGTTACACTCATGGTAAGGGCTCTATACAGGGATACCATTTTTTATCTTTTATACTGTATTTTTACTGTGCCTTTTCTATGTTTACATATATTTAGAGATACAAATACCACTGTGTTACAACTGTCTGAATTATTCAGTATAATAATATGCTATACAGGTTTGTAGCTTAGGGGCAACAGGCTATATTGTATAGCCTAGGTGTATAGCAGGCTACAATCATCTTAGGTTTGTGTAAGAACAGTCTGTGATGTTTGCATAACAAAGAAATCAGGGAATTAGGTATTTCTCTGAATGTATCTGTTGTTAAGCAAAACATGACTGTACATATAATTCCAAGAAGTTAATTTCCTTGGTACTTGATGATAATCCTTTTTTTTTTTTTTTTTTTTGAGACACAGTCTTGCTCTGTCACCCAGGGTGGAGTGCAGTTGTGCCATCTTGGCTCACTGCAACCTCTGCCTCCAGGGTTCAAGAGATTCTTGTGCCTCAGCCTCGCAAGTAGCTGGGATTACACGTGTGCACCATCATGCCTGGTTTATCTTTGTATTTTTTTTTTTTTTTTTTTTGAGACGGAGTCTGGCTCTGTCGCCCAGGCTGGAGTGCAGTGGCCGGATCTCAGCTCACTGCAAGCTCCGCCTCCCGGGTTTACGCCATTCTCCTGCCTCAGCCTCCCGAGTAGCTGGGACTACAGGCGCCGCCACCACGCCCGGCTAGTTTTTTGTATTTTTTAGTAGAGACGGGGTTTCACCGTGTTAGCCAGGATGGTCTCGATCTGCTGACCTCGTGATCTGCCCGTCTCAGCCTCCCAAAGTGCTGGGATTACAGGCTTGAGCCACCGCGCCCGGCCCTATCTTTGTATTTTTAATAGAGACAGGGTTTCACCATGTGACCCCTTGCCTCTAGTGAACAGCCCTCCCTAGCCTCCCAAAGTGCTGGGATTACAGGTGTGGGCCATGGTACCTGGCCTGATTATAATCTTTAATCATCATTATCTTTACAATAGTGTTCTTGAATGATTTTTAAATCTGTCTCCTGTCCTATTCTTGGGGATATTTAATCATGATTATTTGTAATGCAACCCTTTCTATATGTAAGAAAGTTGTGATTCTGATGATCCATGAAAACTTCATCCTTTTCATAAAGAAGTCAATAGTTCCAAAACACCACTATGTTACCATTTTCCCTTAATGATGAATGTAACAGTTCCTTACCTCGGGTGCACCTGCTATTTTTAGTTGTAGCATTCCTTTTCTGTCCTTATCTTCACTGTTTGAATACTGAATGGTCTGCACTTGAGTGAAGTCAGCAAGATGTGTGGGCTATAAAACGGAAAGGTAAAATCTTTAGACTACGGATAAAAAACTCATTTCACGGAGTCTGTAAATGTTCTGTGAAATCCTTGTTGTCCTGAAAACATCCTCCCTAAGACTGAAGGTCTGGGGAAAAAACCAGATTCTCCATGCTGCCCCAGGGGAGCAGCCATGAGACTGTCTCCTGCACTTCAAGGTCAGGTCCAGGTCTGCTCTCTGTGATGTGCTAAGGAAACCCATATGTGAGTCGGATGAGTGAGAGTACAGTTACCACCAAGAGAGAACAGAAGATGAAGGAGGGAAGCTGAAGCAACCTTTGGCCTGACTCGTTTGCCAGCCTGGGAGGAAACATACGGAATTCTTAGAGAGAACATTCTGCTCCCACTCCCAAAGAAAGAGGATCTGGGATTACTCTCCATGTACCCTGGGCTACAGTAAGTACTAAAACTTGCTGGAGTTCTGTAGCTAGGGAGACAGTAGGTATCCAAAGGGCCCTTCCCAATACAGAATAACCTCTTAAGACATGCCAGGAGAGTCTATGGTCATTTTCCTAAATAGTATAAACTTTTGCTTCTTTTTTTTTTTTTTCTTTTCCTTCTATTACTGCTGCACAAATTAATAAACACTCTCCTTCTTAAAAAGAAAAAAAATAGAGTTGGGAGCAATGGCTCACATCCATAATCCCAGTACTTTGAGGGGCTGAGGTGGGATGATCCCTTGAGGCCAGGAGTTCAAGCAGCCTGGGCAAAACAGTGAGACCCTTTCTCTACCAGAAAAAAAAAAAAAATTAGCTAGGCATGGTGGTCTGTGCCTGTAGACCCAGCTACTTAGGAGGCTGAGTCTGCACCAGTGCACTCTAGCTTGGGCAACTCAGTGAGACCCTTCCTCAAAAAAATACATATAGAAGATACATGTATCTTCCACCCTTCTAGCATCTCATGAGGATGATCATTTTGCATGTGAAGATTCCTATACATTTCTTCAAAACAGTTTGCTTGCTTAAGGCCACTCTGACAGCTAATACCCCTTCCCATTTCATGGAGAACAGACGATGCCACTAGAACTGAGTTGGAATTGTTCAAAAAGAGATTCACACTGAGCTGCCCTTCCTAGCAAAGCATCTTCCTGCGCTGTTTGTAGGGACATATGTTTTGCGGGGCTCCTGTCTTCCCCCAGGAGGCCACAGGCAGTCCTCCATTCTCTGGGCCTAGGCTTCTCCACAGCATGTCCCACAGTCCCTCTGCATATTATTCCCGCTTATCCTCTGGGACATCCTGTCCTTTTGGGGTTTCTTCCACCTCACTGGTCTCTCTTTCCCAGTTCTTTTTATTGGCTTCTCTCCTACTCAATCTATAAATGTGAAAGGGCTGCACGGCTCTGTGCTGGGTGGGCCCTGTTATTCCCCCTAGTTGTGCCACGGCAAACGAATACCATACAGTCCTGGCGCATTAAGTACCATCTCCAGCCCTGACATCTCCCTGGAACTCAGACTCATGCATCCAACTCCCTATGTCATATTACCACATGGGTGTCTGCGAGAGATTACTAACAACATAGTCAAAAGGGTACTCTCTCAAAACATGTTCTTCCTCCAGGCTTCCTGACTTCAATAAAAAGCATCACATTTGGCCGGGCGCGGTGGCTCACGCCTGTGATCCCAGCACTTTGGTAGGATGAGGCGAGCGGATCATGAGGTCAGGAGATTTGAGACCATCCTGGTCAACACGGTGAAACCCCGTCTCTATTAAAAATACAAAAATTAGCTGGGCATAGTGGCGTGTGCCTGTAATCACAGCTACTCGGCAGGCTGAGGCAGGAGAAACACTTGAACCACAGAGTTGGAGACTGCAGTGAGCCGAGATCACGCCACTACACTCCAGCCTGGACAAAGCAAAACTGTGTCTCAAAAAATAAATAAATTAATTAATTAATTAAAAAAAAAAAGGATCATATTCAACCAGATCCTGAGCCAAAAAATAAAAACAAAAATAAAGGCATTCTCACTGATTCTTCTCCCTCTCCCCATTATCCAATCTCTCCACAAGTCCCTGGCAACTTCAGCTCCAAACATCCAGAATCCATGTGTTTATTTCCCATCTTCACAGTTGTCACTATGGTCCAGGCCACCATATGATATTCTGCTTAGAGTCCTGCCATTTTTCCTAACTGGTTTCCCTTCATCCATGCTACAATATAATGTCCCTACCTGGAAGCCAGATCATATCACTCCCCTGCTCAAAAAGGTACAATACAAAGCATCATAACTTACATGATTTACACAGCATGCCTTCTATCAGCAAACTGTCTACATGATTTGACCCCTGCCTGCCTCTCTGACCTAATTTACTGTTATGATCTTGTCTTGATGATATGTGCTCTAGTTTCGTTGGCGTAGAACCATTTCAGGGGTGGGCTGTTTTTAGTTGACCAAATAATAAGGAATATGAAAGATAACCAAGGCTGCTAGATGTCACGTGAAGCATGGGTAATTCCTGCACAATAAAAAATTGTCCTGTATCCTCAATGGCTTTCAAATATCCTGGTGTGTATTTATGTCAGTACAAAATTTGACTCTAGAAACAAAGTCTGTTTAAAACCACAAAGTATGCTCTGCATTGAATTTTCCAGCAATGCAACTTATGTGTAATGCAAAGGAATCCTATATTATGCTGTTTTTGAAGTCTTATTAAGAGTTGCTCACCGTTTTGGAGAATGACACCACCAAGGGTAAGACTTGCTATAGTTATTTTCGTCAGTGACACAATGCACCTGTATCAGTTTGCATCTGTAGCTACTGCATGCACGTATGGAACAGAAGATGTCAGAGGCTCCTTCCAATAGACTGAGAGCTGAACATCATTATGTTGGTGGTGACACATGAAATGAGGAATACTATCTCAATTAGTCCTTGTTATTGCTATCTCATAATTTAAGAAAAAATTCGAAGGCACAGTAAGACATCTAGATTATGGAAATTACATTTTTAAAAATTGTTTTTCTGCCTCCTTCTGGCATTATTCCCCAAGGTCAGCCACATAATTTTCCCTATCACTTTCCTATCCCACTTGTATGGAGTGACTTCTGATTGCCCTCCCTCAAATTAAAAGTCATTACTAAGTGGGTGCATCTGACTATAGTGCCTTCCAATGTATTGTGCTGAACTTTTAGATACTGATAAGAGATTTTAAAAAATTATTTGAGTAGGGGAATAACATGCTCTGTAATTTTAATTTCAGGATAGCAAAAGATAATTTAAAACATGTTATAAAGAGAACAGGGTTAACAGGGGCTGGCAGTGCCCACCTACTCTAAATCAAACACTCAGATTCTCTCATACCACCCTACTATAGCCCTTTAGCACAATCACATTATTTATATTGCTTATTTTCTTTCTTATATCCTATTTTATAACTAGAAGGAAAGCCCCATGAGGATGGGAGTATCATGTCCACCTTGTCCACCACCAGATTACAAGGAAGCAGGGCCATGCCTGGCATGTAAGTGAATGAAGTATGAGAAGTTATTAGGTGCGAGACTGTGTTCCAAGTATCAGAAATACGGCAGCAAACAATGATAACATGAATCCAGACTTGAAACAAATATTGCACAAGTAAACCATTACAACTGTGATAAGGACTATAACAAAGCAACACACGGTGCTGTATAAAAATATCTAATTTACTGGGAAGGAGAGAAGGGAGGAAATAGAGCCTCAGAAAAAGTTTCACTGCAAAAAAGAGAATAAGACTTGGGCAACACAAGCTTAAGACCAGGTATATTACATAAAGGTACAACACTGCACCACCAGAATCTAGCCTACCACTTAGCACAAGGCAGCTGTACACAATATATATGCAAAATGACTAAGGTAACACTCAAGACAGGCATGTAAATGGTCATTACAAGGGCAAAAAGAGAGGGAAAGGGCACTTGAGGATGTGCTGTTCAATTGGTGGCAGGAAGCCACACACAGCTATGGAGTACCCAGTGGTATGTGGCTCCTCCAGGCTGAGATACACTGGCAGTGTACAAAATGCATGCCAGATTTCAAAAACTTGGAATGACAAAAATAAGATAAAGTCTCGGGAATTCTTATACTGATTACATGTTGAAATGATGATATATTGGATATACTGGATCAAATAAAATATAATAAAATTAATTTCACCTGTCTTTTTACCTTTTTAAATGTGGTTACTAGAAAATTTTAAATTACCTATGAGGCTTGCATCATGCTGCTGTTGGACAGCACTGAGAAGTCAAGTAAAGTAGATAAGGACTCAGAAGTACCCAGTGGGTTTATCTACAGGAGGATCACTGTTATCCTTGGCAAGGCATTGGGGGATGGACGATGGTGGAATAATGACAGTAGGCAGGAAAGGTCTGGTTGAAGCAGGTTGAAGAGATAGTGGGAAGAATTGTAGGCAATGCAGTTAGATAATCTGTCAAGAAGTTTTGCGGTAAATGATAGGAAACCAGGGAGAGAGAGGGACACAGGGCTAAAAGAGGGCATTTTAGGACAAGAGAAACTATACATTTTTCTATGCTGACAGAAATGTCTGCTGCTACAGGAAAGAGTGGGCAGAATTGAAGAATTACCATGAACAGGTAAGATGGGATAGAAGCCATTACCTAGCAAAGGGTTGGTCTCATTCAGGAACATGAAGTTCACCCATGGGAGGCAGAAAAAAACGAGGAGGAGGAGGAGTGTGGCAGGGAAATGTGAGAAGTGCAGTGTATGGAATCTTCTGGGGGATCTATCCTGATTGCTCCAATCTTGCTTTCTTCTACTTTATGTAACAAATACTTCTTATTTCATAGGCACAGAGGTCCTTATAAACTCAAATGGAAAACATATATATATTTTCAAGGAACATTTACAAAAATCATACGCTTGGCCATAAAGAAGATCTTAACAAATGTGAAACAGTTAACATTTTAAAATCATATTACCTGCTCATAAGCCAATATGAAATTTTTGGCTCATAATATGCTCATAGAAATAAAAA